ACATGTACAAACTTTTGATACTCTACACATTCACTAACTATTGATTACCTACACATGTACAAATCATTGTTACCTACACATGCACTAACCATTGATACTCTACACATGGACATACCATTGAAACCCTAAACATGTTTAAACCAGTGCTACCTTCAACATGTAAAATCCATTGTTACCATACACATATACAAACCATTGTTACCCTACACATATAAAAACCATTGATACCCTACACATGGACATACCATTGATTACCTACACTGTACAAAACAATGATATCTTACATATGTTATAACCATTGATACCCTACACATGTAAAAACATTGATACCCTACACATGTAAAAAAAACATTGATACCCTACACATGTACAACCATTGAAACCATACATATATACAAACCCTAAACGTTTACAAACCAGTGATACCTTACACAAGTAAAAACAATTGTTACCCTATACATATACAAACCATTAATACTCTACACGTGTACAAACCATTGATACCCTACAAATGAACAAAATATTGATACCCTATAATTCGCATCATATTAAGCATGCATTAAATTTTAACAAAAGCATTTATTTAATACAAACTTTTATCTCATACCCAATGTTAAATATGTCAATACTTTAAAGTAAAATGAAAGGGTATTTTACTTACTACAATCTCTCATTTCCGTATCTGAAACGATAAAGAATATTTTGCAATCCAACCTATTTCTCAAATTACCATTACTTGATGAGTTAAAACATATTTGATAATAAATAGTTACAGCGACAGTATTATCCAAAATAGGTACTCGATCCGAACAAACAAATGTGTGTTAGATGCATATTATTTAAGACAAAGAAGTAATAACGATATTGTAGAGAACCAAATATCTCAGCTTTTCAGGGCAATCTGCCTCACTTTCTTGAAGACAGAAACATAAACACTTATATATTACAACATATAACAGATGAATAGTCACTATGAAACAATACAACATAAAATACATAAACAAACAAAAAACCAGTGATCCCTTTTGAAATATGTTGCCGTTTAATCACATACCCCCTCTGTTAGGTTGTCACCGCAGGCTAATCATTGTACAAAATACATTGAACGCTAGAAGTATCGGTCATAATTTATGTATTTCTATGTTTGGTAATTCGGGATTATGTACAAAATAACACATTTGAGAAAGAGATTGAGGCTCATACTCTCTAAACCTAGAAAGGTGTATCAACACCTTGCCGAGTTTGAGATATCCTTGTTTTACCAAAGAGTGATATGATATGTTATTACCCCTTTGAGAAAAATCTAGGAATCTGATTGGTTAAAAACTACAGTGTACCAAACCGCATTCGTAAATCTCAAGGGGTATACGAAAATCTCAGGGGGTATACGGTCATGTCACGTGATTCTCAGCAGTAATACGGTGGAATCACGTGCTTTTACAAGGGGTATACGGGTCACGTGTCTTTGTATCTTGCGACCGGGCAATGGGAGACAACTCGCATTCGTCGTCTGCTTCCGGCGATGTTTACAAAATGACAAAACGTTTCGCTTCGCATACTGATGAGGAAATACTCGCCAAAAGGGCTAACTATGTGCCACAAAACACACAAAAGTCGAACAGACGAGCGGCAAACATGCTGAGGACGTATTTAAAAGAAAAGAATCAGGAAGAACAGTTCGAGGAATTTGATAAAACGAAACTAAATGAGGTAGATCTACTGTGCCATTTTTATCTTGACAACAGAAAAGTTGACGGGGAACTGTACAAAACCAATATAAAAGACTCAAAGGGGTAATAAATTCGTTACACGGATTTTTGGCAGGGTATACGGGATGGTATGACCCTACAGGATTTCGTATTTCCTTCGGCCTATCGGCCTCAGGAAATACGAAACCCTATAGGGTCATACCATCCCGTATACCCTGCCGAAAATCCGTGTAACTAATAATATCCCAGCCATAATAGCAGACCACATAACGTAAGCATTGTATATATAGGACAATACAAACAGACGAAAAAATATAATTATGTACTCCTTTGTGTGTGAAAAGAGAAACTTACCTTGGGGTACTGGCGGTTTACTTTGGAAGTTCACGACTATCTCCACTGATATGCTGCTAGTCCCTAACCTATTAGTAGCGGTACATATGTAAATTCCTCCATCTTGCGGCTGAATATTATGAATTGAGAAATTGTATGTCCTCCCAACGCTGGTGATGTTGTAAGCGGAACTGCGCACCATCGGCGTTGATTGGTTACCTTCATTTCTACATAGGAGGTTATCCACAAATGGTGTTGAAGTCACCCATACGGACATAGACGTGTTGTCCCCGACGTCATATCTACTTACACGTCCGCCAAACGGAGAGTACATTTCTGGCGGTACTGGAACATATATTAAGGTATCAGTCAAAAGTAAAAGTAATTATTCATTTTTTATCAATATTTACCACTTTGTCAAAGTATTTTTGAGAAATTTCTTCAACTTATAGTTATCTACAACCTTGATTCGGATTTTAAATCATTTATGACAAAGATGATGATTGAAAACTGCTTGCCTTTGTTCAATAAGATTCATCAGTTTGGAAAAACCTTTTTTTCATTACTTGTAAATGAAAAATACTGAAACATACTATTCATATTTTCTGCGTTTTCTGAGTCCAGATGACTTAGCAATTACGAATACAAATTTTAAAACATTTTGAGAAAGATTAGTGCATGGTTGTAATGTATATTTACGCACAAAATAGAGAATATTGACATGATCAAAAGGATACATAAAAACGTCACTTAGAGCTTATTATCGTTTTTTTGTGATTGTTCCTATTATTTGCAGCTTGAGTGTTACACAATACAAATGTATATCAAAATATCCCCTCTCTGTAAACATACTCACTGTCAACAGTCAAATGCAAGGTGCTTTCTCCTATGCCTTCGCTATTTTCTGCTTTACAGGTGTAGTATCCGCTATCACTGGCACTTGTGTTAGATATGGTGTGTGTCCTCACAAGGCCTGATGACACATCTGAAATAACCTTTGTTACTTTTCCTTGCATATCTTTAAAATGAAAACTTGATGTAATGGGCGTCGGATTCCCCGCAATACTGCATGTCAACTTGTATGGGTGTCCAGCATCAACGGTGTCGCACTCTGTTGCCATGGTAACGATAGGTTTTGCTGCAATACAAATAGATAACGGCGATGTAATTGGCCACATGTGTACATCTAGAATCTAAGATAATTACTCATTGATACTGGGTTAACAAAACTAGTCATGGAAACATAATTTAAATGGACTAATTTGCTGTTAAATAGCAACCTTCAGAACAGGTTTTATGGAAAATCTTCGAAAATTATTTGTAAAAATTTATTAAATGCAAAGAATGAACATGAATAAGTACATTAGTACATATTCTGTTCTGACAAGGACGACAAAGGACGACGCTTGTGATATGACCCACCAGTGATAAACAATGTGACATTCTCGACATTTGACAATCCAATTCGGTTGCTCACACACAGTTGATAGGTCCCTTGGTCTGACAGTTCAAGTTTACTGATGTTCAAATAGGGGTTTGGCATTGTTCCGACAAGGTATTTTTCTGGATTCGAAATTTCTGTTAAAGAACTAGCGATGACATAGGAGGCAGTTGTATCCAAGAACACCCAGAGAAACATTTTCAGCACAAAGTCACTGTATATTGTCGGCAGTAGAGTTAGATCATCCCCTTCCTTTTTCGTATGAGATGCTGGATATAAGAACACATCCGGTACAGCTAAAATTATATAAAATACTTTTATATTGAAATGTATCGCATTGTTTCTTTTCAAGAAAATGTCGTATTAGAAAACATTTGACATTTAAAGATAATATTCTTGATATCAACAACAACTTTTCAGATCTAATAGTATTAATAAAGCTTAAAATCCTCACTCCTTTCTTGTATAATTCAGCTCTAATCCAAGATTTTTAAACCATCAAAGTATTTCTTATATTTCTTAAAGTTCAAAATAGTCATTGCTGCATTGAAAGTTATTTACTACGGACCTCTAAAATGTATGAACTTTGCTGCAAATGACTGGTTGAATAGCGTTTCATAGCTTTACTGTGAAAAATAATGCAATATCTTTTACGGGGAAGATGATTCTGACGTCACCGTTGTACGTCTATTGGGACATCATTTTGAAAGACATACTTGAAATAACATCATGATAATTTTGGGATTTTTGTTTTTCATGTAAGGCTGCAGTTTATTGAAGAGCTTATGATGATAAGTAGGTAAAGTTATGATGAAGAAGATACAATATTAATTGACCATGTTTTGCATATGTAAGCAAATTTAAATGAAAAAAGGAATATGCATTCTAGTAATATGTGAGTTGATGATTAAAATGGTTATTGAAATAATAGTAAATATTGCAAAACAAAACATACAATGTATATAGGAAATAACCTTACTGTATTTCGAATGTTTTTGCGGTATACCATACCATGATAATACTGTCGCAAATTGAGTTTAACTGGTCACGCAGAGCAGAATCAGTAAAACGGATATTCCAAATTTTAAATCACAGTAAGATGATCCCTATCATAAATCATATAAGCCAAACATTACCAAAAGAAACGGCGATTTTTAAATATTTGTGAGTGTTTTCCTCGAATTCCAGGTCACTCTGCCATGGATCGGTGACGTCAGTTATATTCAAAGTGAGGCGAAATTTAAGGGTAACACTATTGTTCGTGACGTCATGAATAATCAAGTTCATGAGAAATTCGCGGATGGTTTGTCGTGGTTATACTGTCGCATTTTTATTTACCAATCAAATGTCGTGTTACAATGTATATCTCAAATGAATAAGAAGTTTGAATTCGTGTTTGGTACATTTAAAGTTTCGTGCCTTTTAGAGCCCACAACGGTCACCACGTGAAACTTCATTCAGCACCATTCTTGAAATTCTTGTCGACAAATAGCATGGATAGTTACAAAAATCTGTACCGTTTTTACGTGTGCAGGGTTTCTTGCAAAGATCGACTTCTTCGAAGGAAAACATTGAGGTCACCTGTCTATAGTTGCAAGTTGCGCTTGTTCCATCGCCTTTACATGGTACACACACATCAGTGCCGTTGTGTTCTGTACAGAATACTATGGTTCCTTAAAATAAGAGTATTTACATTTGTACGACATACTGTGAAATCAGATATTTTTGCTGGGATCCAATTTGGAGGTTTTCCGAAAAACTTCTACTTCGTGAGTATAAAAATTCGAGGATTACGAGAACCCGCTCGCGCTGGGAATTGCTCTATGCCACACTATTAACTACTTCGATTTCGTAGACCTATAGATTCGTTAATGATGATAACATGTTCCCACATAATCACAGAAACTAAAATAAACCCAACGAAAATGAGTGATTTCACAGTATTCAGAAAGAATTTAAAATGTGTGTGATATGGTCAAATTATCCTTTAAAGTATAATTATCACAGTATGGATTTTACTTAAATCTTCATAATTATTCAACTGTTCTTTACAGATATTATTTCATTATATGAACAACATTTTTTTCTGATTACAGTTCAGATGGAAACAAATTCAATTTATTCTAAGACTTCATCATAAGAAGTCTTTAAGTCGATACAAATAGTCCTTAACTGAGCAAACGAATAAGTAAGGCACCACGAATAAAAACATACAGACATAACCTTGTAAATAAAATGAAAAGAAACGAACTATACATTATTAGGTTGTACCTCCCTTGATAAAGATAACATTTCATTCAATATTTAACTATTTTATCAGTGAAATATGATAAATTATAAAAGTATCAATTTGATAGAAAAAAAGTTGGCAATGAAATTAATGTGCAATGTTTTGTTTTTTGCAACATTTTTTTGTTTTATCAGACATGAATAAATATTTATTGGCTATTAACTCAAATGCGTTGTCTGATATTTAAAACTAAATTATAAGGATAAACAATATTTATGTTTGGGATTATACGTTATATACTGTAAAAACGTTTTGCATTTTTGTGCATAATCCGCTTTGCAGATTTGTGGAAAGTGCACACATTTTTTTGGTACATTTGGATATACCGTATAACCCCAAATTTTATCCTGGTTATTCCTTATATATATCTACATTATATACCTCCATCACAAATTGTTGGATAGCAGCAAACTAATACGCCACCCTCAGGAAACTGCCCGCCAGTTACGTGATGGGGTACTGTTCCTTTTCCGACCTTGCCGTTACAGTCAAACCCAGAAAACTTCGGATGGACATCCTGCAACAAACGTGTATCGAGAACTTTACACTGATATATGCTATTGTTGTATATGACATCGCGTAGAAAAAAAATGATTCAAAGGGAAATCTTTCTAAAAAAAAATTCAAGCTATACCCAAACATATATGTAATGTAAAACCTGTTTACTTGACCACCTCTATTTAGAGACCAGTTGTGTTAAGATACTGTTTTTGTCATGTTCCTCGTTGAAGTGATTTCATAGTGAGGTGTACTTGAGTGTATGTAGAGACCGTCTATGTAAATAAGTTTTTAAGCTTCCCGATGGTGGTATTTTATACCGATTATGTAAACAGTCTCGTAAATCAACATTGCAAACCACAGCTATTACCAAATTGTATAGGTGCAGTGTGTGTCTAGTGCTTATCTTCAAGAGCCTGCCGTAAGATGTTTTAGTAACCAAGGATACCCTTAGCCTTGGTGACCATGTTTACCTTTTTAAGTAGTGGAACGTTCTATAATATAGAAACGTTACTTATTACTGGTACAGAATTAACCAGAAATTATATACGTTTTGACTTTTCGTACGTTTTCCTAGTTCTCCATCTTAAGTTTTCCTTTGTTCATGTTTTGCCTTTTCTTTTTTTTGAATATGGTATTGTTGACACTTGACTGTTTCTTACCGTCTATTTTCTCAGTCTATCAAGCTGTGTTAATATGTATTATACTTATGCACAACATTACCAATGCAAACGATAATATCATTTAATGAGAGGCAATGCAATTCCAAACTCACGTTCAATCTCAATATTCCTAAGACTTCTAACTAATATAGAACCTGTGGGTACACCTGGTATATGTTTCTGATAATTAATTTTTAAGATAGTGCCTGGAATATTTTGTTTGTTTGTACCCGTCATATATACAATTAAAGATAGCACCTGGGATATTTCTGGGGAGGGGGTAAACTTTACTATAGTTCATATATGGAAATCACATTTTGGACCCACATTTGTTTAATTTCCAAAACTTTAAAAACAAAAAGCAACTCTTTGTATGAATATATCAATAATAAGGTGACCGCTAAGGCCTATATGTGCCTCTTGTTGATGTATAATTATGAAATACCGTCTGGAATATTTTTTTCTATATATGTTTCCCCCTGTATGAAATTCTGAAATAAAATTCTGAAACAGCGCCTAAAATAGTTTTACCCATTATATATGTTTCTAAAAAGCAATTATAAAATAGAGTCTGGAATAGATATTCATTGAAAAAGGGATGTTTTGTATAATTTATGACAAATAATTATACCAGATAATACAAGGTGACTGGAAGGTATTAATTATCACCAAATTAATAATTCTATTTAAAACGATTGGTATATTTTACTCACACTATGACTTGTAGCACAGACCGACATATGCATTGATCCGAGGAAAAGTGACCATGTCATCCACTGTCGGAAAGGCGTCCAAGTAACAAACATCTTAGCAGTATCCAGCTCGATTACCTATAAGTATAGTAAAGTATAGTAAAGTATAGTAAAGTTCTCAAAGTTTCCTATGTTGAATATGTAAATAGTGATATGCTCATGATAAACATGTTGTATCAGATTTTGAAGCATAATTTGAATATGAAATACATAATCAAGTTGATATATATGTACAATATTAATATGGATCTTTTCTTTGGCTCTTGTAAACATTGTCAATAGTTTAACAATAATTTATTGATTTTAACAGATATTTTCCGTGCGATTTTTTAATGCATTCACAACCTTGTCTATAACATATCTATTGCAAATACAGTTTATTTCTTTGTTTAATGCCAAACTGCAAGTTTTACATTTTCCTTTCGTGTGTGTGTTCATTAGTTTGAATTTTGTTTTGCAAATGTTCATGTTGAATACTGTTTTTGAGGTCAAATGAAATACCTATTTGTGTATTAAAAGTTTATTCGATGTCTTACAGTTGTGTGACCGCACAACGCACCAAAAACAGCGTGCGCACACCGTGCATACATCGTTCACATACCGTCTGCACATCGTCCACACATGGTGCGCACAACTGTGCGATTTAACAATCGTTCGCCCCGCACAACTGTGCGATTGGATACAATTTGTAGATCAATATTACGGAATGAAAAAAATACGGAAAGCTCGTATGCAATAATGAAAACTGTATGTTTTACTGTAATTTCTCATCACAGTCATGAAGATTATGTACAGCTTTACAATGCGTGTAACACAGCATTTCAGTGACCGTTAGTTAAATTGGGTTGGCTACAGGTAAATAACAATTTGATGAATGACCGGAGTTTTACCTGGCCTGTACCTGACACATAGAGCTGATATGCGATACCGTACGTTTAGTATTTGTTATTTGCATTCGGTTTGCCTATAGCTCCCCTTCACCTGGGTTTTCACACCTCTGGCCCTACCGACGAAATACGCAAGCGCCCCGGGCGGGGGAAAACTACGGTCCTGGTTCATGTACAAAGTCGCTATGTTTACCTTATACGGGACAGTGTTGTTATTTCACATGTGTCGATTAAGGTCATTTAAAAAATACTGAAAACACAATTTCTAATTTTAAGACATTATAGACATATAGATAAGCTTATAGATGTAGGTAGAATATAAAAACATACGTAAAAATCAAGTATATTTGTTCAAACACGAAACTGTATATATTGTTAAGGCATTCCTCAATTTACATTAACCACGATTTTTATCGCACATCGTTCCTCCATCGTGCACACAAATGTGCGCAAGCAATGATCGTCCAACTTTTTATCGTTTGCACATCGTGCACACATCGTTCACACATCGTGCGCACACCGCACATCGTGTAACGTTGTGCAATCCCACAACTGTAAATTAAGACAGTTAAATACAGTTAAATCTAGTTTTATACATTACAGCCAGAAATGTAAGCTAACAATGAACATTATTTGTTTCCAATTACATAAGATATTATGAATATTCTAACAAATTTCAACATTAACAAAATGAGGATAAAATTAAGAGAAAATTGAAAGAGGAGTAGAGTTCATATTTTTCAAGAGCACCCACGTTCTACTACATTCAACTACGATCATCCTCCACTACGGTCAACTACGTGCGTGACCGTAAGATGTGACCGCGGCTTTTAAAATAATACAAAGGGACGAAGAGACAAAGATGTAAGGAACAAGTGCCTTTAGCTCTACAATACCATTAGCAGATTTCTTGTCAGCGTTGACAATGTCATACTTAGTATGGTAATATCGGTGCATGGAAATCTGTGGCCTATTCAGTAATGGTTAATTTTATCTCCATATCAGCATTGCCGTGATGGTGAAATACCAGGTTCTTCTTCCTACTGACGTTTTGTTTCGGTAAAGTCTAGCTCATTCGGTGTCAGATAACACCGAAGGTTCCAGGTGAGATTCGTACTGGTGGGATTGAAATTACCACTGTTACATATCTATTTTGAATTAGTACAATGCTTGCAGGAGGGATAAAAATACGACTGTGGACACGATCACGTAATTTTGTATTAGACGATGCAGAAATGTCGTGTAAATGTGTATCCATACGATGTTACATGTTCGTTTACCTGTGGTCACATGCAGGCTTGTGTACGCTGTAACATACCCTATACGCTACGTTCGAGATAAAATAATTTTTTGTTGAGATGACCCCTGTTTTTGCTTCTCTAGGTCTCGGTCTCTGCGCTCCATGCTAGGTTTACCCCAGCATGAGAAATGTCTATAGTATTGTCAGGCTGTAGACATATATAACTATTTTAGCCTGACGAGTCGCCGATCGTGAGTTCCACAACAGGTGAGTGTACGGGTAACTGCACTTGCATGTAGGTATTGTATGTATATATACGATATAGTAAAAATATCAAAATATAATGTGCAATACAAGGCAACAGAACATTCTTAACCTTTTTTAGTACAACTGTAATCTCCGATAATATCATCCCTTACACAAACCATTAAGAACAATGTCTAGTTAATACAGGTACTTTCATAATTAGTAATTCTAATAAATATTACAATATAGTCACACAAGAATCATAATAACTCACCATTCTACCTTAGATAACTCGGTTCATACATATCACTTGGTTACTAGTATCTATGTATCTGGTCTCGCTGCACCGTACCAATCCAGGTGTATTATGTCTGGTACAATATGTACACACATAGATAAGACACGATGTCACACTTGCACCCAGTGTACATTCGTCGAGGGGGTCTGCTAGGCAAAGTATTTATGATAAACAACATGTATTAATGTTTACATTGGCAACAATAAATACACACAATGGCATTCCCAGAGTGAATTTATTATATTATTCCACACCTTTTACAATGCAGCAACTAAATTATGTCATTCCACATAGACGTCGACATTTGTTTACCTGTGAGTCAATGGCAATAATAAGATACTGTTGTTCATAACAAGGGCCAAACAATAATAATATAAGTTATGAACCGTTTGACACTGTTTAGAGTACGCATATTGACGTTACCTTCGACACCGGCTTATTAAATAATTAACGCAGTTTTCTCATAATTGCATAAACTTTGTTAATATCTGTAACATTTAGAAACATGATTTAAATGATTAATAAATAGATAACGTATACTCACAGTGTACTGTAATCTTATATCCTAATTTGTATTTCACTAAGCTCACGTCTGTATCTCAATCATGTGAGAAACAATACAAAAAATGTGTATACTGTTGCTGTACCTCATAACTACCACATAATGTTAGAAGCCTCATATCATCCATCAATATTTGATAACGGTTAGGATAATCTTAGCTGATTGTAGCATGTGTGTGCTGGGGGTGACGTATAGCACACTATCACTTACCAAAATGAATTATTTTTTTCATATCTACTCAGATCACATGGAGAGAATATTTTTAATATAATATTTATGCTTCTCATCAAAATTAAACTTATTTTACTGTGTACGGATATCCATACCAATCCTGGTCCTCCAGGTAATACGGGAAATTACCCACTACTTGATGACATATCAACTGCACATTTGAATATAGTCATAAAAAATATAGGTTGCATCTATAGACCCCCAAACTCTATTGTGGATTATTGGAGAAGACCTGATGATGTCTTGGACAATATCACTAAACTTGGCAAAGATTATATACTTTTTGAAGACATCAATCAGGATATGCTAAACGTACAACCAAATTATCACATCATGCGGATTATGACTAGGTTTGGCATTACTAATATTATTCACGAACCTACAAGAACTACTCTACATCTCTCGATATTGTTATGACTAACAATACTGATATAGTAAAAATTCCCTCTGTCCAAATTCCAATTTGTAGTGACCACAGTCCAATAAGTTGCAATATATCTTTCAAAACTCGTAAGAAATCTGCATATAAAAAGACTATTATGTACTTTAGTGATACTGACTTTGTTAATGCTAACATCTATTTATCTAATATTGATTGGGATACATGGTTGAATGAAAATGTTGATATAGAGACTATGAATAATTTTATTTCCAGTGAAATTCATAATTGTATTGAAAAAAATGTACCACATAAAGTTGTCACTATTCGTCCAAATGATAAAGTCTGGATGAACAATGATATTAGATTACACATTAGGAAACGAAACGGTCAACATACCAGGGCCAAACATACAAATACTACTGCAGCCTGGCAAAAATATAGAGATATGCGAAACACAAATATTGACCTTGTAAGAGAAGCTAAGCAAAAATATCTACTTCAACTTCAAAATTCCCTTATTGATAAATCTATTCTTCCAGGTAAGTGGTGGCGGGTTGCAAAGTCTATTATGAACATTAACAATAAATCATACAATGATGCTCCTCTTGTAATAAATGGTGAACTTAAATCACATCCTGTGGATAAAGCAGAATATTTTAACTCATATTTCACCTCTGTCTCTACTTCTGACAAAACTGACCTTGACATTCCTCCTATTGTCCTATCTCACAAGAAAAATCATCTTCCATTATTATCACTGAACAGGATGTTCATGATCAGCTCTAACTTATTAATGTAAAAAAACCTGCTAGTCCAACTGCACTTCCCCCTTATTTTATTAAAGGTATTGCTGACTCAGTAAAGCCCTTACTGTTAATTGTTAAAAAATCCATATCCACTGGTTGCATACCTAATATTTGGAAGTGTGCTAATGTTACCCCAAATATAAGGGCAAGGGAGGAAGAGGTGACCCCAGTAACTATAGACCAATCTCTGTCACATCATTATTTAGTAAACTTCTTGAAAAAAGAGTTTTTAAACATCTCTTTAATTTTCTATCTGAGAATAATGTTATCTCAAAAAATCAGTCTGGCTTCCTTTCCAATGACTCCACAGTTAACCAATTAATATATTTATATGATGAAGCTTCAAAACAACTTGATCAAGGAAAAGAGGCAAGGATAGTATTTTGTGACATCAGCAAAGCTTTTGACAGGGTTTGGCACAGTGGATTGATTTACAAATTGAAGAAATATGGAATTTGTGACGACGTTTTGAACTGGATTCATTGCTATCTTATTGATAGACATCTAAGGGTATTAATAGATGGCTACAAGTCAAATTTAAAAGCATTAAAAACTGGTGTACCTCAAGGCTCGGTTCTCGGGCCTTATTTATTTTTCATATTTATTAATGACCTAGAAGATGAACTCCACTCCCATGTCATACTCTTTGCGGATGACACTTCTCTTTACGTTTTGATAGATGGTGATGGCAGACATGCTGCAGATATTCTTAATGAGAATTTAAGGAGAATGTCTCTCTGGGCTGGTAAATGGGGAATATCATTTAATCCAAGTAAAACTGAATCATTACTAATGTCTAATAAAAATAATTCTGAGACATCTCATCCAGATTTGGTATTCCCAAATAGTGTTTTATAAATGTCAAAAATCATAAACATCTTGGTTTGCTTTTTAATAGTCGTGGATCATGGTCTGATTAAGTTAATTATATATATGGAAAAAGCTGTACAAAACTACAAATAATGTGAATGCTCAAACACAAGCTAGATAGAAAATCTCTTGAAGTAATTTATAAATCTTTTATAAGACCAACACTTGAATATGCTTGTGCTGTGTGGAATAATTGCACCCAGGGTGAAAGTGACTTATTGGAATCAGTCCAAATAGAATGTCTCAGAATTATATCAGGTTTGAGAAGAGGTACAAGTCATATTATATAAGGAAGTTGGTGTAGATAAACTAAAAATAAGACGTGATAATTACCAATGTATATTATTTTTCAAGATACTGCAGCATGACTGTCCTGACCATCTTTATGATTGTATCCTACCATATTTTAATAATGATATTAATCCTCGCCTTAGACATCAAAGAAACTTTATTGTTCCCTTGTGCAGAACCAACTTGTATAAAAATAGCTTTTTTCCATGTTATTGTAATTCCGACCTGATAATGGTTGATATTTTTAAATATATCGTCATATGTTTTCCAGGGTGGCCTACACATAATGTCACTGGTTTCACAATTGTGTTTATCGTTGGCTGTCAACTTTCTATGTAGTAATACGGATGAAATCGTGAATGAGTTTTATCAGAATGATATGTTTGTAGTTTACATGTAAGCGAAGTACTTTATGGTAGACTCGACGAACACATCATGCACATCAGCATTGACCTAATGTCTATTATCATAGCTGACCAATAAACTGGGTGGTGTCTGGTCAAATTATTTGATATAACTGGGTTTACTTGTATATAATGCTAGCAACCAACGGATCCTGAAGCTAGAAATGTCCAGTCACTTGGTTAAGTTTGCCAAGTAGTGTCAAACAAACTTCGATCTAATAGACTGGATTCATGTTTATAAGAGGCTGTTTTCATTTCACAATTTTTTTATTGAATATTAATTGAATCTTATACAAATTCAAAAGGAATTGGGCAACATGCGTAATGCCTATACAAGCCCTCTCCTGTGGTATGGACAATGTATATTATAATATATTTGTTGTGAATTTTTTTTTATTTTTTTTTCTACATCTAGGTGGAGGTTCTCTACCTGAGTTCCCACGCAGTGACTCGGATATTTAAATCCCCTACCCCACACAGGTGGATTATGATACAGATCAGTAAAGACTCTCTGTTACCTTGATTATTATTTAAAAAATGGCAAGGTTCAGGCAGACGACCATAGGCTTTTAGCAGGATTTTAACTTGAAGAAGGATTTCATTCACATAGAATTGGAGTTTCAACTAGAGAATAAATCTACTTGAGAGTGCAGATGGATTACATGATGAAGAACATAGGATGTAAGATATAAGAGTAGATTTATAGTTAGCAAGTTGATTCTTAGTCACCACGTGAAGCTCGAAGCCATTATCATTCTATCCCCAATGTAGTGATTCTGTTCCCTAGTCAGTCTCTGCCCCCCCCCCCCCCCCCCCCCCCCCCCCCGTGGATCCACAGATGGCCAGCATGGTACATGGTAGACATAGGTACATTTGTAACGGCCTCGTCCCCATATATCACACTGACCACCAACGGTCTAACTGGTAGGGGCCAGCAGCTGACCACACAACTGAATATACAAAATATACAAAATTTATCTTAACTTATTATTAGGTTATATGGAACAAATGTATATAACTACCCACACGTATACTCCTACTAAAACTGGCACTCACTTATATACACACACTCCCTCACTCACTCAAAAGAATTGCCCATATATTATATATCCATTTAATTCTGAATTATCATATTATATGAAGGTAAATATAAGATGGCATGGTGATGGATCATCAACACTTTGATACTAAATATTGAGCGTGGTCAATTGTAGAGGGAATGGCTTGACCACAAAGTCCATTTGTTTACACAAAGGTCAGCCAATTCCCATAAATAGTACTAACGTACATCCATATTTTATACATATTTTAAGTGTTTGTACCAACCTCGATAATAATTTAAACTAATTAAGCTAATACATTAGAGGCGCTTAGTATTAGAAATGAATCCCATGGTACATTCTTGTATATACATATTATCCTGGTCAATATGGTTACTTTTTCCGGGTTGGGATGACCATCCATAGATATGATAAGTAGGTTCATTTTAATTACAAGGAAGTATGCTAGATATAATAGAATGTACCATGTGATACCCCTTTGGAAGGAGTTGTTCCTGTTCTTCGATGCTGCATCCGTGCATCACGGATGTTGATTTAGAACCTTTAGTCAATTAATACTAATGGTGCACACACACAGCATTGAGGAAAGGGAATTAACTAAATAATTAAATCATTATTTAAACATTTCATTCTTGTATCAAAGACAAATGTATATAAACATGCATAAGAGTTACATGTATGGCTATATAAATATGGCAACACACACAAACGAAAAAGTACTAAACATTCAATTAACATAGACATAAATATATACACATTTCACGTTATGGGATCCATGATGAAATAATATATATATATGCAAGATCTTGTAATTTTACTTCATATTTTTTTGTAGGATTAGCTATAGCCCTCTATATGGGCCGTTAAAATGTATCTGGTAGTGGATTACTAAACTAGTACATGTTAATATTCAAATTCATTCATTTTGAATTAAAAAGGGAAATAAATAATAATATAGACAGTTGTATATACACATATGTATGTGTGTGGACAAATAACACTATTTATTATGTCATATTTATAATATTTGATAAATATACGAATATCTTTACACACATGATTATTAGATATGTATTACTTAGATATATGTATTACTTAGATATGTATCACTGTTGACACTCCCTCTTCCATTATTGTATATACTAATACAGACAGGTGCATACATGTGCATGTATATAGTGACCTTTCTTGTAAACAGTGTAGACATAAGTTACACTGTTTATGTTGTGAGATTTATAATATTTGATAAATATAGGTATATCTTTACACACATGATTATTAGAGACATATTACTTAGGTACATACTATCAGTATTCACACATGATATTAGTTACTAAGCTAATTCATGTTATTATTCGAGTTAATTCATTATGAATTAAAAGGTGAATGAGATAATGACACAGACAGTTGTTTATATATATATAATCATGTGTATGTGCGTAGATAAGTAACACTATTTATTGATATTATTTGATAAATATAAATAAATCTTTACACACATGATTATTAGATAGGTATTAGCTATTTAGTATCTCTGTTGACACTCCCTCTTTATTATTATACATAATGATATCAATATCGCACATTAAATCATAAGTTACTAATCTTAATTCATGTTACTAGTCATTCATTATGGATTAAAGTGCGAATGAGGTCATACAAACAGCTGCATACATGTGTATGAAAATAGTGACCTTTCAAGTAAACAGTGTAGACATAAGTTACACTGTTTATGTTGTCATATTTATAATTTAATTGATTTAATTGAATTTAATTGAAAAATAATTGACGCAGGCTGAAAGCCTCTAAGTCCATATCACAAAACATAGTATACAAATATTATATTGTCACTGGTTAACATATATAAACTTTCCCAAAAGAGTTATTTTAAAAGTCATTATCAGTAATTATTGTAAATAGTGTCCTTCAGATGGTTATCCAACAGGATCTCAAAGTCCTTCGTGGTTTCTGCATTTACAACCGATTACGGTAGACCGTTCCAGATATCAACTACCCTAAACGTGAACGAGTTTTTCCTTAGCTCTGTACTACATCGTTGTTTATACAGCTTAAATTTATGTCCTCGTGTTCTTTCGTTATTATCGTAGACAAATATGTCTGACGTGACTTTCTCATCAAACTTCCTCTTCACAATCTTGAAAACGTTAATCAAATCACCTCTAGTCCTTCGGTGTTTTAGTGTCGGTAGTTTTAATTTTTCTAAACGTTCTTCGTAGGAGATTTCTTTAAATCCAGGTAGAAGCTTAGTGGCTCTCCGTTGTACATTCTCTATCATCTAGATATCTTTAAGCTTATACGGACTCCACGCACTGGCTGTGTATTCTAGATGCGGTCTTACCAGAGCCTTATATAACTGTCTAAAAATCGATTCGTCCAAAAAAGTAAATGATCTTTTAATAATCCCGAGTACTGAATTAGCTTTATTTATTGAGTTTTGAATGTGGGTCCGAAAGTCCAGGTTTGCATCCACCGTTACTCCTAAATCTTTTTCACTGTTGATTTTGTCAAGTACGACTTCTCCAGTTTTGCTCGCGAGACGGTATGTTCTATTATTGTTTGGTGATCCTTTAACCTGAAGAACCTTGCATTTATTCGGATGAAATTTCAGAAGCCAATCATCAGACCATTTTTGAAGATTATTCAAATCTGCTTGTAGAATTTCCTTATCCTCATCAGTTCGTATCTTGCGGTATAATTTAGTATCATCCGCGAATAGAGAGCACGATGACGCAGTGTTCTCGGACATGTCATTGATATACATTACAAATAATATTGGTCCTAAAACACTCCCCTGAGGAATTCCGCTTAAGACGTTCTGTAATTTGGATGTAAATCCGTTAACCACTACTTTTTGATGTCTATCACTTAAAAAGTTTTCTATCCATTTAACAGTTTTCGCGCTGATTCCATAATTATATAGCTTGTGTATTAGACGGCGATGGGGTACCTTGTCGAAAGCTTTCATAAAATCCATATAAATGACATCAATTTCTCCTCCCGTATCCAACATATGAGTCCACTCATCTAGGACGATTAACATTTAAAGTGTTGTTGATCTTCCGGGGAGAAATCCAAACTGATTTTTGCTGAATAAATTGTTCAGTTGCATGTGTTGAACTATACTATCACGTATAAGTTTTTCCATTGTTTTAACGATAATAATTGATAAATGTAAGTATATATTTACACACATGATTATTAGATAGATATTAATTAGATATGTATCTCTGTTGACACACCCTCTTCCATTATTATATATAATGATACAGACTGCTGTATACATTTGTATGCATAAAGTCGACGTTCTAGTGAACAGTGTAGATAGGTTACACTATTTATGTTGTCATATTTATAATATTTAATAAATGTAAGTATATCATTACACCCATGATTATTTGATAGGCATTAATTAGATATGTATCTCTGTCGACACACCCTTCTTCAATTAGTATACATAATTACTGATATCAGTATCACACATTATGTTAGTTACTAAGCTAATTCATGTTATTATATATTCATTATGAAATATGAAGTGAATGAGATAATACAGACAGCTGTATACACATGAGTATGTAAATAGTAAACTTTCAAGTAAACAGTGTATATATGATACATTATTCCCCCCCTCCCCATATTTCATTGTATGTTAATATACGTATATATATTTACACACATGGTATTAATAAATAGTTCATTCGTAATTAATATCATCAATTAATTTGGTACTAAATACACAGTATACTGTATATATCAATACATTTAGTTACTCGTAAAATCAGATATTAATATCACCATGCATATTTATATAATAACATTCATCAATAAATGGGTATAATGATAAGTATATTTTAATACATTCCCTCCTCCATGGTTATATTCTAGTAATCACACATTATATTCATGAGTTACTATGCTAATTCATGTTGTTATCCATTCATTATGTATTAAAAATTGATTGAGGTAATACAGACAGCTGTACACATGTGCATGCATAAAGTAAACTTCATAGTAAATAGTATAGATAAGTTGCACTGTTTAAGCTGTCATATTTCTAATGCATGATAAATATACGTTTAACTTTACACATATGATATCAATTTGGTACTTCTACTAAAACAAGGTGGGATAATATACAGACTACTATGTATGAATAAATTTAGGCATGCATGTACCAAGGTATCAGAATGATCTTTACTGTCATGATACATAGCAATATATACATTTTAATTGGGTTAAAAAGAAATTAATAAGATAATACATAGACAGGCATTTGTTGGTATGGTAGCTGGTGACAGTGAGAAGGAAGTGATATAGAATTTGTCTATGCATCACTGGTTAAGTTTCACAATTCAGTCCTACGTTGTAAATAGACTTCAGACATATATACATATACTTAGACATAACACATTTATTATTCATTCATTATAGGTATTGAGAGTCAGATAATGAGATATAGCTAGCATACTGGATCAAGATATATTCAACATTTGTGAGTCGAAGATTCGACGTTTTAAATTATCCCTGATGATCCCAAGGAGATTAATGCAATAATTGGCTACTTTTGATTAAGTACTGACAATATATGTAATGATAGCAAACAGGTTATATGTTATAGGGGAGATAACTCTTATATCCAACCATGGATCAACATTTGAGACATTTTCATATTTATAATTTATTTGATATCTTTTTTTAATTATGGCATTTAATCTTGATATGCATTAAAAGTTGTACGTGTTTGTTTGGTGCATTTACACGTAATACTATATTGTTTGTGTTTAAACAATGCAAATTGTAAAAAAGCATTTTGTTATTGTTTTACATTACATTTTTAAGATACCGAAACCGACGCCTACCCGCCATTTTAAACATTATGTCCGGCTCGATACCACTGGTCAGTACTGGCTGTTTTGGACCGCCAATACCACCCACGTGATCTTTGAGACACACGTGAACACGCATGGCTACATTGGATTTGGAATCTCCCCGAACGGAAAGATGTTCCCTGCTGACGTCATCGTTGGCGGAGTCAAGGACGGTCAGACCTACTTCAAGGTACGTTTATTTTTATTTTTGTGTTTTGTGCGCAGAAAAGGTGGAGCAAATTATGACAACGTGTTCGTGCTTGGCTGATTCGTGTAGTTTCGTTTAAACGTAATTGCATTTAAGTACATCAAGGAACGGGCACGAATTGTAACAATGTTATAAAAAAAACACCTTTCCTCATAAACCATTACACCATTGTGAAAGCGACAATACAAATTTATATCTCTATTTTAACGAAATGTGGACTTGGCGATTGACAAGTAGACTTTTGAATGGTTAGGTATTAGTATCATTGTTAGGAACCGCATATTTTTGGAGTCATGACATGAGTAATGACCATAACGATTCTTTTAAACTTCTTATAGGAAGGTGAAGCCATTGCGTCACTAAATTTTATTTGTTCAATCAGTAAACCAAGATAATGTTGTTGTTTTTTTTATCTTAATCACTCATTCTATCGTCATTCTTGATTTATTTAGGTTTAGCTTAAATTTGTTTGTAATGTCTGTCTATGTCATAGGACTATCACACTACTGAGCATGCCCCGCCAGTAGTTGACCAATCACAGGACTGGTTCCTCATCGCTGGCAAGGAAACTGCATCCGGGACAGTCCTAACCTTTGTGCTCAAACTCAACACCTGTGATAGTGTTGGTGATATGGTCATTACGGTACGTGTGCAAAATCACAATAAGTAAAGTGTATGGCTGATGGATTCTACTTATATATCATCGACTGTGCTAAACGCTTCAAAACAATATTAATGACATTTATCCCAGGAACTTATAGACAGCTGGTATTAAAAATAGACATACCATTCATGTAACTTGCAAATGGAATCTATGTAAGCGAATTTGCGATATCAATTACTTTGCACCAATGCATATGACTATATCGTTATGAGAATCTATTTATTCCTAACGTAAATTAAGAATAATATATTATTGTACCAAACGTTACAGGGTTCGTTTCCCCTTTCATTTCAGGTTTTAGAAGTAGATAGTTACATGCTCTTACAATGGACTAAATGAACAATATATAAATATGTATTTTGAAAAGAAAAATAAACAGATTTGGAGCAGCTTCTTATCGATTTCACTTCTTTAGGTGTTCATCAGGGAAAGATAATTCTGTAGTTTTATATTGGATTACTGAAATTGACAAATCCCCTGTTCAAGACCTGAAGAGGTAAGAGCGTTAAGCAGCTTCTCAAAATCTGTTTGTATTCCTTTCTCATTCTCTACCGTTACAGGGACTTGGGACGAATTTTGAATACATATGTTTAAATATTTATGTGTCAGTCTGAATTATCGGATATAGTTCATAACTGATTTGTATGTGAGGTTGAAAGTAAGTTGTGTTCTGTGCTCTGTATTCTATGCAAACACGACCTCACTTTATTCTACAGGATGACACTACTAGACTTATCTTCTCCTACAATCCTGTTGACGTGACGAGTTATATCCCTTACCATGGCGCCACCAGGAGAGGAACGAAGAGCGTCATGCTGCGGTCTTTATCGTTGACACCTGAGGACGTCAACTTTCCTTCCGACATATCTACGTTCGACTTAGTTCAAGACAATGTAAGATTTTAGTGCGCATGTCATGCTTCATGACAACTTCCAGATTATGGATATCATTTTCTTATTGAAAACTATGTATTTATCAACATTTTTTTTGTTTTTCGAAATAAATGTTACATGTCGTTATTGCTACTAAATGTCCGTCGTTGTAAGAGATTTCTATATTGCTGATGTTTATTTCACAAGTATCATACCTGACGACTGGATTGATCTAGACCTACATATGTGAAATAATTTATTGAACAATTGTTATTGTTAACTGCTATTCCACATAGTGATGTGAAGTTTAGGTATCCGGAAATATTCATAGGCGACACTTGTTTTCTAAATCATTCTTTTGGATATTAATGAATGAGTTCGTTTGAGTATCTCTCAATCTTTCTTGTGATTGAGATATCTTTTTTTCTATTTGAGGTATTTTTGTATGGTTCATATTGCAGCCAACACGTGAGAAACATCTAGTTCATTTCCATTCGTTACATATGCAGAACCTTGTATTATGAGTAAATTTGATAACATCGATTGTATAAACTAATGTTGATCTATTGCATGTATGCGGTACAAAGAATCATTCCCTTTTTGTAACTTTTCATGCAGTTCAAAATAACACTTGCCCATAATTACGTTGTATGCGGTACTTATAAACACTTGCACTTAGTTACGTTGTATGCGGTACTTAGATACACTTGCCCTTAGTTACGTTGTATGCGGTACTTAGAAACACTTGCCCTTTGTTACGTTGTATGCGGTACTTAGAAACACTTGCCCTTAAAAACGTTGTATGCGGTACTTAGAAACACTTGCCCTTAGTTACGTTGTATACGGTACTTAGAAACACTTGCCCTTAGTTACGTTGTATGCGGTACTTAGAAGCACTTGCCCTTAAAAACGTTGTATGCGGGACAAAGAAACACTTGCCCATAGAAACGTTGTATGCGGTACTTAGAAACACTTGCCCTTTGTTACGTTGTATGCGGTACTTAGAAACATTTGCCCTTAAACACGTTGTATGCGGTACTTAGAAACAAAGACACACTTGCTCCTTTTTGTGTTGTATCCGTTACAAAGAAAAGCTTGCACTAAATGCGGTTCAAAGAAACACTTGCCCTTATTTACGTTGTATGCGGTACTTAGAAACACTTGCCCTTATAAACGTTGTATGCCTTTTCCTATTGTACGTCATAAGCGGTACAATGAAATATTTGCCATAAGTTACTTTGAATTCGGTCCAAAAATAACCACTTGCCCTCAGTTACGTTATATGAGATACAAATAAACACTTGCCCTTAGTTTTAATGAATGTTCACTGTGTCTCTCCTTTTGTTTGTGATGTCCCCACGATTGTGTCCTTTTTATTGCATAAAGTATAAAATACATGTTTGTTGGTGTACATATTATGTTATATCTCATTATTATAACGGTACAGGTACGTTAACATTGTGGAGAAAACTAATACTTTTATATAATACGTGTTTACTGTTTTTTTTCTCCTGTCACCACAGTACCACGTTCCGAACAGCACCACCACCTACGCATGTCGAGCCTTTATGTTACCTCCCCTTACCTCCAAACATCACATGATCAAGGTATGGCATGGTCAAATACATTAAAACTATATCTAATCACATGTAATACTCACTTAATTGTCAACACATTTGTAAGATACAAAACCACAATATCCTGTTAACACTCAGAAAACGCTGATATATTTGACAATCTTTACTAACAATGTTTCAGGGATATAACAGGTATGAAGTTTAACCTTCCGTGTACCGCTAGTAAACAATTTTTAATGTAAATAGTTAAATACATTTCAGTGAACGCACTGTAAACAATAAATAAGAAACATCATACGGCTTAAAAAGCCATTTTTAAACATTTACCGACAATCTGTTCACCTGTTCAGCTTGTTTTTAATCGATTTGTTTACAATTTATATAAAAAATACACACCTGTAAGTCGTTATCCGTATACTATTTTAACCTTCAGTATGAGTCAGTCATTACTAAAGGAAATGAACTGAACGTGCACCACATTATTGTCAACCGTTGTGACAAGCGTGCTGCCGAGCTAGCCGCGTACGACGGCGCCGCCTTCCAGTGTGGAGATGGTAAATCGGAACCGGAACCTCTGCGAAGTTGTCTCTATAAGGTCATCATCGCTTGGACCGTCGGAGGGGAGGTACGTATGATTCTGGGATCTTAAATCGGAAAAACTCAGGAAAATATGTATCTCTCAGGGGAGTTAAACTATGACTCTAAAGATGGTTCATTGTTTTAATGTTGGAAATGCTGAATCATAATTCGTTTCTCATAGAATGATGTATTTATAATTCGACATGAACACGTCTTTCTTCTTTAACCTGACAAACTGGCTAGGGCCCATACAATGTGTTATTACTTTTCCTGACAAGTCGGCGAGGATATAAAGTCATGTTCAACATTTTCCTGTACAAGCCAGCTAGGAAACATATGTATGTAAAGTTGATTTGTATTTTCCAGAAAACTCGGCTAAAACACAAACAATGAAAATTCCTGTTGATAATTGGAATCTCTTTTTACGTTGGACCTACTTGAGAACCTATCGTAGCTTTGATATTTTATTTATTTTCAATATTTAGACCATCATTTACTACAACCTCATTATGTTATATAAATTCAACCTTTGTAGCGTTTCCTTGTAGTTCAACTCAAACATTTCATTTGTGTTTTCCAACGAATTGTATATGACTTTTAACACTAAGTTGCGAAAATTGTTTGAACCTCCGCATTTAAGATCTATTTTGTCAAAGATAAGATGCAGCAGAGGATATAAAAACATAATTTCATATAGCAGCTATCTTTATGAGAAATGTGTGTTGTTTTCATTTTTGTCTTAGAGGTATGACTTGTTTAACTCTGGCACGCTGCTTCGAGAGGAAGCTGGAATAAGACCAACCTGATTGAGGAGGCACGATAGTCTAGTGGTAGGACGCCGGGTCGTGACCGCGGAGTTGCGGGTTTGAGTCACGTCACGAGACTGTGTATTATCTTTGAACAAGATACTTTTCTCCGCTTGTTCCAGTCTACTCAGCTGTAAATAAGTACGTGGTTGGGCAGTGCTAGAATGGTTGAATGTTAGATGTGAGCGCCGAAATGGCAGCACCGGCTGTATGCTGACAAAGATATTGACTGGTTGCAAAGGCCCTATAACCGTGGATAATTTTGAGAACCGCTTTGACACGACTTACGAGCTAGTTTGGGATAAAGCTGTATATAAGAACCTCGAATTATTATTATCATTGATTATTAAATGCAGCTGTCTGTTTTATATTGGCAGGCGTTTTACTACCCCCCTTCTGCCGGGTATTCACTCGGGACTGATGACGACCCCGACTTTCTGATCCTTCAAACCCATTACAACAATCCTCTTGCTAGAGCAGGTATGCATATTTCAATGGTGATCATTTATTGTATATTGTTTAAAAGAAAAAGCAACAAGGAATAGTCAGTGTCACAACATCAAAAGTCGAGCTGAAATTGATATAAAAATAGCGAAATACGAGGAAAGATAATAATAACCCGGAGGCCTTTAAAAAGAACATATTAAAGAAGAACGTTTAATAAAATGATCGACCAGTGACGTTGTTTTGTGTATTAAACGTAGGTAACGGGCTTTAGCTTTCAAAAAGCAGTGAAGCCCCTGAGTGATTGAAACTAACTCAACTTAAAAATTAATTTGAATCTTTATAACAACCGCTCTCCATTGCAACATAAATTGTCTCCAGGTTCTACATACAATAACGACAACACGTTGGCGAAACCTGAGTTTTGGAATTCTATTTCCCGTCCTGTTGCAAATACATGTTCTAGTTCACCGAATGCACCTTTGCAACTTAATCGAATTTGTAAATAGTGACGTATTCGGGACGAACACATCCCTCTTGTAACGCCTATTTGTTTCCGTTCCATAGACATCGTTGACAGTTCAGGCATTCGAATCACCATGACTCCCACTCTTCGAACGCACGACGCCGGGCTCCTACTTCTTGGAATGAGTGAGTCTCCGATGCATATTATTCCCCCAATGGAACCAGCCTTCGTTTCCCAAGGGTTTTGTCCTCCAGAACTTCTCGGGAAGGTACGTAACCAATACTCACTTAGCGGTATGAAACGTTCGTATTATTGACGTAAACGTTTACAGTCAAACATATGCATATTTAAATATTGTTACTCGAAAATGTCAATTAATTCACTACTGGGACATGCAGAATCATCAACCCAAAATAAGTAATATTTGTATACTATTATAATTACATATCCAATGTTTTTCATATCATTTTTAAATTGAAAACAAAGACATTATAATTTTATACAAGTGTATATTAATGAAGAAGTGTTTAATTGATTATATATTATTCAAAACAAAACCAATTACGTAGTCTATTTCTCATTTAGTAATCAGATTCTGAAAGCGTTCTGCTCGGTCTGAATTATGGACACATCCCGAGGTTCGCACGTTGAATGCCGTTGTTGAATATTGAATATAATGAACAGAAAGCTTTGAATTTTTTGTTGTATATGAACCTCCTTACACTCATATGTGATAATATATCTTATAATTATCCAATCTCTCTCGAAAGCTGTTCAAAACTCGAAAGACAATTCCTACATATCCTCTACGTATTACATTGTTGGCTGTAAAATATGATGAATAATCAGCAGGACTACATATTGTTAAGGGACTGACTCCAAGGCTCCCCAACCCTGGCATCCCCTATCAAAATATTTATATATGTATATATATATCTGCTTCGAAGCAGTATATGTATATACATATTTATGAAAAAAATGGTGAGGAAATAAAATATTTGTAAAAAAAATAATAATAATAATAATCAGCAGAATGAAAATTATGTCTTCACTGAAGCAGCAGGAGAACTGGGATACATGTATTCCGTCTTTGCGTATTGCAGAGGTATCTTCTCTTGTGAACAGGTATTGATTGTTACGTCATTGGTTTTTGTGAGGAAATTACGTCGTTTTCTCAAAAATTGATGACGTTGCTCTCACAAATCAATGACGTAACAATCAATACCTGCTCACAAGAGAAGATAACTCTGCAATACGCAAAGACGGAATATATATTCACTCATTTTACAGGAGTGATTGTGACGCAAGTCAATTTTACTGATACAGCGTTGATATATTTCACCTTACAACTTCTTGCCGTTTCGACAGGTATTATTCTGATATCACGACGGATAAGGTGCATATTAAACGTCCCTTGATGAGAAATGAAATAGAAAAACAACATTGATTAATTAAGATATCACTATTTCAACTCCTTTATCAAATTTGTCTAATATACCGCCGAGCGTAAAATATATTAATAGTGTCATAATCGTGAAAATACAAAGGAAAATTCTTGATAATAATGTATAAGTTTCAAAAGAAACGAAAATGGTACATCGCAATGAAAAAAAATGTTAAGTGGAACGAGTTTGGTATTAATGTGAATATTAGTTCGTCCAAAAGGTATTTGAATAAATAATGAAGCATATCATATTTATGTCTGTTGGAATAACAGGATCATTCCACAACATCCTCCTTTTTTTCGTTACAGGATGTTTGATGTCTCTAGAGAACGATAATATTCCCAGAATCCATTGTTTTTTATATGAAATTTGATTTCATAGTTTAAGTTTTAAATAGTTTTGGTTATTTTGTTTGTTATACAAGTATGTAAGATATACAATTTTCAGCCTCATTCAATGGGTTTTTGATTTTTTTTTTAATTATTCTGTAGAAGGATATCACCGCTACACAACCAGACCTTGATGTTGACTCCTCCCGACATTCAGGTGTCTGTGTATTGCTGTCTGCCGTTGTACATGCACTACAACTCTTCTGTTACAATATTGCTCTAATGCTTTCTAGTATGGTCAACATTTTCAGTCGAGTTCATCTGATTTGGTCGTTGATTTCTCGGTCAACTTTCCGGGGCTGCAATCAGCACCTCATTATGTAAAAAGTTATGAGCGTTGCCGGCCAATCATAGCGAAGCAAAAAAGAACGCCATGAAAATGATAAAATAATGAAATAGTATATCAATTGTAAAAAAACTGATCAATATAAAAATATCAATTTGTTATTTGATTACAGGGCGTACCACAAGAGGGTATAAACGTATTTGCGATTCTACAGCATTCCCATCTTCTGGGCAAAGAAATGATAACACGTCTCTACCGAAATGGTAGCGAACTCGAACCACTGGCTGTCGACAGACATTATGATTTTGATTATCAGGACATGCGCTACCTTTCGAAGGAGAGAAAGATATATCCGGTAATGTATGATGAAAATAAATAGTTATCAATCCAGGTTAAAAATTGCACATGCTGTATTTTAGGTCAAAGATTTAAGTTCTGTAAAATGTTATTATTAACTGACAATTTTTGTTTTTATTGTTATTTAAAGGGATGCAAAGGTTTAACCGATCTTATCCTGAAAATGTTAAGAATGAAAATAACATATTGCTAGAACTAACCTCGTTCGAGTCGTAATATTCACCCAACGATATCAAGATCAATTTCATCTGTTTTAAAGAGAATATTTTTCAGACTATATACGGTAAACATGTAGATATGAATACAGTTATTTTGGTCAAACTCTATGTAATGTCCTCTGTATCAGAGACTAATACATATGTAGGCACCAACAAATCTAACTTATTTTATGATTATAAGAAAAAAATTAATTCAACAAAACACCAAAACTGATATCTGCTTCAACAATAGTAATCAACTGTTTTTCTTCTCTTCCTACCTTTTCATCAATATGACGTTTCACTATCATGATCACGTGATATCGTGAAATGTCCTTGGAAAGTAACGTAATCATGTGTTTACACTGTCGTAATTTATTGCCGTAACTGTTTAGGAGATGTGAAATGCAAAACACTCGAACGAACAATGTATTACAATATACCTATTGTTATAGTATCTGTTATATTGGAATCAACATGAAAGATCTTCTTAAGTTTTCCCAATATTCCTTAAACTCTCTCTCGAAGTATTATTTAATTGTTCACACTCCTTAACATAATACAAAATACTCTGATTAGCATATAAGGGCAAAAAAACTATTTAAAAAAAAGGACTGATTGTTGTTTATAATCAGAAGGTAATACATGTCAGTACCGTAAAACTTGATTAATTTCGTATGAAAATAACTGAGAGAGAAATTCATATTTGTACACAATCATTTAGCATTATGCTGTTGTTTAACAGAAACAAAGAGATATAACAAAATACTCTGCTGGACAAATAAGGGCACACAACGAAGTTTTTATAGAAACACTTGTAAACATGCGTGAAAACATTACACAAACGCCATTCCTTATACACATTATATTATCACTATCATAGACACTTTTATTATTCCACAGGATGACAAAGTCGAGGTGAAATGCGTTTACGATTCGAGCCACAAACAAGATATAACATGGATAAGTTAAATGTAGTATTTGTTTAAGGCAGAGGTCGTGATTGGTATGCAAGTGTGATTCGAGTAGAGCTAGATATATAGATCAATATTTACATTTGCTATGCATCCTTCCATTGCTATGCATTGAGAAGGCAAATGTTGTAATGAGATTATAACAACATTAGCTATTATGACCTCACCAATCTCAATTGTGACGTAACTAATTTTATTGCTGTCAACACTTATTTTGCTGTTCAAAAACTGTTAGCAATAACTAAATTAAGCATACCTATTCTATCAAAATGAAAAGATAAGTAATGAATATTTCAGCAAATATTGCTATGGTCTGATAACTTTATTGATCTTTATTAACTTTGTCATCAATAGCAATGTGTGTTATAGAGAAGTTGTAATGAAATCAATATCGTCATACGATTTCAATATAACTTATGTCATTATAGAGAGAATATTATATTGATATCGTTATATATACACGTAGTTACAGCGAGGGAAATGGAATACCTTTGTTATTATAATGAAGTCGTTATAATGTTGTTGTCGTTATAAACAATGAAAATGCCGTTGTAGAGAAAATACGGTATTCATGTCGTTATATAAATAAGTTGTTACATAGAGGAAGATAGAATACCTTTATCGTTATAAAGAAGTCGTTATGGTACTGTTGTCGCTTTAATGAATGGTAATGTCGTTATAAAGAGTACAGTATGATAATTATAAATTTATAGAGACACGTTGTTACAAAAACGAAGAGAGAATACCTATATCATTATAATGAAGCTGTAATTGTATTGTTGGGGTAATGAATAATAGTAATTTCGTTATAGAGAGAATATGATATTTTTGTCGTTATATTAACATATTGTCACAGAGATGAAGATCTAATTCCTTTAACGTTATATTGAAGTCATTATGACATTGCTGTCGTTATACGTAACGATATTGTCGTTATAGAGAGGTTATGAATTTTACGACATCAAAAGGATTTTATTAAATTGATTTCGTTTAAAGTTATTATAATGATGTCGCTATCAATTTGTCGGCTTTAAGTATGTTATTACAAATAATTATTTTTAAAAAATTACAGGGTGGATTCTCTACACAGGATGAGATGTGCGAGTCATTTCTTATGTACTATCCTCGTACGCACCTGGACATCTGATTTAGTCTGCCCCTGTATAACACGATAACTGACAATGCTGATCTACTGTTTCCTGTGCTCAAGTCATGGAACTGGACCGATCCGGCAGTTAGAGCTAACTTCCGGTCAGCGCTAGACAACTCGCTGTATGACCATTACCTCTTGGGAGACACTGACGCATTTAATGTAAGAGTTGTTCAAAGACAATGAAAATATCGCTCGGTCACATATACTTAGCACAAACAAGGGTAGCTTATCCTTTTCTCAAATTGAAGTATGGGACCACGAGAAGCTTCATAGCTATACGCTATTTCTATTATCTCGACAAATAAATTGCCCATTTTTAAATATATCATCACCAACATGAAACGTCTCCATGAGGTTTAACGGGGTTTGTCATTCTTTGTAAAACAATTGCATCAATTCAACAGCTTATCTTTCTCTTAAAAACCCAAGGGATTACTGAAGTGTTATCAAAACCATATTTCGAACTCAAAATCGATTAAACTAATGCATGAATAAGAGAAAAACTTTAAAAAGAGACCATTGAAAAAATACAAGGAGGTTAAGACCAGGTGCTCTGGAAGGATAAGCATCTGCTCTATCAATGACACCCGCCATGTAAATCTAAGTCGGATCCGAGTAGTGCCAATTCCTGAAATCGAGAATTCAGGTAGTGACTACAAAACCACAGGCACTCTAACGATCAAAGTAAAAATGTCGACCTTCATATCGTACAAGGAAAGAAAAAAACTCATCGCCAGCACACACGCAAGTGTGCACACATAGGACGATATTAGCCAGGTTGCATAGGACTAGTAGTAAGTGGCTGATAAGGCAGCTCCTGCGACTTCTAAAAAATATGTGTTGATTAATGTATATGTTTATTGTATAAATTGTATGTTCTATGTACTGTAAAGTGTTTTAGAGTGGCTTACATCAGCTAGATAGGGCGCTATATCAAATGCTGTATATTATTTTTTGTTATCATTATAAATGTATACATGCACCGTCTTTAACCTTAATCATGTTTTCTGTATTACAGGGAAACATTACCAAAATGGAGCACCCAACACAAAACCCGTATGTAAAACCTCAGGATACCAGATGCCAGCATTAGTCTGTTCCTTTCCCATGCTTGATTTTCTGAACTGAAAAATAGTGAACAATTGCAAAAGGGACACATTTTTAAAATTATTTGATTATATAGTGATCTATAAGTAATATATGTATTTTGGCGTGTGTGTGTACATCTATCATCATTTATAATATTCAGAATATTCAGCTCCTGGTAATTTATGCAATTGTAAATAAAGGAAATACATTCGTTATTCATTTGCCGAAGTATTTTCATCATTTGAACCTTTTCTCAAAATGTAAAACAGAACCGTACGCGTCAAATGATTGTTTTGTATGTTATTATCCTGATTGAACCTTTCGTTAAGAGAAGGTAACACATACCAGTGACAGAAGACTAGATTTATTTCTTTTGAAATAACAAGGATAAATATTCACATCTCAATTCTACACAAATCACTTATCATTATGCTGTTTTTACAGAGAAAAAACGTTTCAATATTTTAATTAATCGAAACTTCTTTGCCTGTAAATTACAGACATTTGATAATATCACAGTATGCTTATTTAAGGTATTTGTAATTAAGAAGAAATACTGAATCATTTAATGGACACATGTATGCTATCTGGTATGTTTGATATATGAAAAATGTTAAAGTTACGGACTAATTTGTTTGCAATGTCGAAGGCAAAGTATACATCTCACAGCACTATATTTATACATTGTAAAAATAACACTTTATACGTATATAAATAACACTTCGTTGCTGACATCTCATATTGGGTTAATTCATATACGTGATAATTCATCGAAATTAGAATCAGGCGATCATAATCAAAGCCATCTAAAAGTGTCGAACCAAATGCATATAATAACAAACCTAAACTTTATCACAACTCACAAGCAAATGTCCACAAATACAGGTTGATAAAGATGACTAAAAATTGTAAATATCGTAACCAAATATGCTCAGATCGTCTTCTTCGAGAACTACACTTCATCAAGTAGATTAACGTGGCCTTTATTGGAAAATATAAAAGTATAAATATCAGAGACACCAAACAGTGGTATATAATAAATGACGTAACAGTTGTAAAATGGGTGTAGAGAACACTGTTTTTGCTAACTGGTTTTTATATCAAGGATTGTGTATTTTTGCCTTTATTCAGTAACCTCCCCTTAACTTCCGTTTGGATATAATGTAGTAGCACGTTGGATCCAAGACTCTTCTATTTACCGATACCGCAATTGGTTAGAGCGGTGTTATATCAATCTGAAGTCCAGTGCTGGAATCTCGGTCTAGCCTTGTTGATGCTATTTAATCTCAAAACACTGCTCTCAATTTCACTTTGTTTTTGTCGTTTATGTTTTTCTTATTAAAGCCGTGCAAGGTATGTTATTTTCAGAAATATTTTATCAAAGCAGTAGTCATGCCAGAAAAACAGCTTCCAACCATTCGTTACAGTTCTTGGCATTAGGTGGGGATCATTAAATCACATAACAAACTAATTGTCATATTTCCGTAAGTAAAAGCATAATAAATAAAAAATCAGCACGTGGTTGTTGATCACCATGTTTTTGTTGTTTATTTAGTGGTTGTAGTTCACCAAGTGGTTGTTGTTCACCAAGTTGTTGTTGTTCATCAGTTTGTTGTTGTTCATTAAGTGTTTGTAGTTCACCAAGTGATTGATGTTCATCAGGTTGTTGTTATTCATTAAGTAATTGTAGTTTACCAAGTTGTTGTTCATCAGGTTGTTGTTGTTCATTAAGTGGTTGTAGTTCACCAAGTTGTTGTTGTTCATCAGGTTGTTGTTGTTCATTTAGTGGTTGTTGTTCATTAAGTTGTTGTTGTTCATTTAGTGGTAGTAGTTCACCAAGTTGTTGTTGTTCATCAGGTTGTTGTTGTTCATTTAGTGGTTGTTGTTCATTAAGTTGTTGTTGTTCATTTAGTGGTAGTAGTTCACCAAGTTGTTGTTGCTCATCAGGTTGTTGTTGTTCATTTAGTGGTTGTTGTACATTAAGTTGTTGTTGTTCATTTAGTGGTTGTAGTTCACCAAGTGGTTGATGTTCATCAGGTTGTTGTTGTTCATCAGGTTGTTGTTGTTCATTTAGTGGTTGTAGTTGACCAAGTTGTTGTTGTTCATCAGGTTGTTGTTGTTCATTTAGTGGTTGTAGTTGACCAAGTTGTTGTTGTTCATCAGGTTGTTGTTGTTCATTTAGTGGTTGTAGTTCACCAAGTGGTTGATGTTCATCAGGTTCTTGTTGTTCATTTAGTAGTTGTTGTTCATTAAGTTGTTGTTGTTCATTTAGTGATTGTAGTTCACCAAGTTGTTGTTGTTCATCAGTTTTTTGTTGTTCATTTAGTAGTTGTAGTTCACCAAGTGGTTGATGTTCATCAGGTTGTTGTTGTTCATCAGGTTGTTGTTATTCATTAAGTGGTAGTAGTTCACCAAGTTGTTGTTGTTCATCAGGTTGTTGTTGTTCATTTAGTGGTTATAGTTCACCAAGTTGTTGTTGTTCATCAGGTTGTTGTTGTTCATTTAGTGGTTGTAGTTCAACAAGTGGTTGTAGTTCACCAAGTGGTTGTTGTTCATTAAGTTGTTGTTGTTCATTTAGTGGTTGTAGTTCACCAAGTGGTTGATGTTCATCAGGTTCTTGTTGTTTATCAGGTTGTTGTTATTCATTAAGTGGTAGTGGTTCACCAAGTTGTTGTTGTTCATCAGGTTGTTGGTGTTCATTAAGTGGTAGTAGTTCACCAAGTTGTTGTTGTTCATCAGGTTGTTGTTGTTCATTTAGTGGTAGTAGTTCACCAAGTTGTTGTTGTTCGTCAAGTTGTTGTTGTACATTAAGTGGTAGTAGTTCACAGCTTACAGAAAAATATCAAGTAACGTAACAGATATGTAAACATCAATGTTATCATTAATTCTTATTAAGAGAGAATCGAAATTATCTTTAAAATATTGACATATTTATAAGTGTTTATAAGTTTCAAACAATGAATATTCACATACTTGGTCCGCCCGGTAACACGGAATAGAAGCACCAGGTTTGAATCATAATTGTAAACAAAAATCCAATCCAGAAGATGATTTCTATCACTATGGTAGCTGAAACAGAAATAAAAGGTTCATTGTAAGTCATTGTGATCTTGTATTACTAAACCACAATGTCGTTTGTATTGTATCACCCATTCACTTACTACATAGACTGTGATATGTTCTTGATAATTCATTGCAATTAGCCAGATAGTATACACATAAGTAGTTCTCAAAAACGCATGCAGGCCGGTTTCCAACTGAATAATGATCTGTTGATATATCCTTAAGAGGGATCTCTTTTATTTTATAGATACTAGACAAACACATATCTGATGGACTAAGTCAATATTTGGTTATCATTAAATACAAAAAATATAGTTATTGGTCAGTACAATTTTTCAAACCGTGATGTAAAATTTTAAAACAAAAAAAAAAGATCAAAAACATTCGTATGCAAATATTTTTTTAAAAATGATTTTGATACTGTTTTATTTGATCTAATTTGGAAGCATTTAATATTTCAATTATGGGCTTCTGTGATGGTAAATTTGATGTAATATATATCTTAACACATAAACTTGACCTTTTTAGTCAACATTACATTATCAGGTTCCCATGATATATGTCTAAAATATCTCTTATAAACACTCATTTCATACATTGTAGTACCTAGTAGAGCTGTGATTTGCTATAGATTATCTCGAAAGTTTAAATTGTGACATCACAATTTCATCGTTACTTACCCCAGAGAAAATAATGCGATGTATCAATTTACGATTTTTTTTGAATTATTGTTTTACAAAAATATTTAAAACAAATCTTAGTAGACAATATGTAAATACTAATTTAGGGGTGTACGTAAAACAAAAACATATCTGTTCCAATAACCTTAAAATATTTTTATTTACAAAATATTAATAATAAATAGTTTTACGACTTACGTATGATGCAGTAATCGGGATTGGTAACCACACAAACCGTAATACCGAAAACGGTAATACCACACAAACAGATCGTAAGGATAATCCGTGTACGGTTGTTGAGAGTGTTTCCTGCAACAACAAATATTAAGATAGCCACTGGCAGTTCGCTTTATAGTACAATTTCCTCGTGGAGTTCTCTAGATTGAACTGATATAACGCATTATTTTGTCCTCAAACTGTCATCATTCAGTTAATAAAGGCATTCACACATGCATTGTCTCTTTAAATAACGCCAAATTTAAATTTGTTTAAAGTTTGAAACATACCACAGATGTTAAGATGAACCAGTAGTAGAGAGACAATAGCAGAGACAGTGGATATAACAGCTAAAATTGGTATCAGTTCAGAGACATTCACTGAAACAAAAAAAAAAACGGTAGAAAGACGTATGGTTGCTGTAAGAGAAACACAATATCACATAAAAATGGAGGAAATAACGAACATTGTTACTGTCAGGTAAGAGAGCCACACTAAAATATAAAAAGGGAGTAAAACCTGCCATTATTGATGTCAGGTCAAAGAGCAACTCTGAAACAAAAAACGGTAATAAACGGCTGGTTCCTGTCAAGTGAGAGAGCCACACTATTGTATAAAAAGGGATGTAATAACGAACGAGGAAATAACGAACATTGTTACTGTCAGGTCAGAGAGCCAGACTATCACATAAAAAGGAGGTAATAACGAGCATTGTTACTGTCAGGTCAGAGAGCCACACTAGCATATAAAAAGGAAGGTAATAACGAATATTGTTACTGTCAGGTCAGAGAGCCAGACTATCATATAAAAAGGAGGTAATAATGAGCATTGTTACTGTCAGGTCAGAGAGCCAGACTATCACATAAAAAGGAGGTAATAACGAGCATTGTTACTGTCAGGTCAGAGAGTCACACTATCATATAAAAAAAGAAGGTAATAACGAACATTGTTACTGTCAGGTCAGAGAGACACACTATCATATTAAAAGAGCGGTAAGAAGAGACATCGTTGATTTAAGGTCAGGGAGTCAAAAGAACACACAAGCTACATGTACGTAAACAATGATATATTTGTTTACGATATATTTATGACAATAGCATGTTTCTTTTTCCATATTAGGAAATGTACCACTCAGCAGTTTCAAGACCCTAGCACTGGCGTTAATAGCTAAAGATTATACGGCACAACCAGTTTGTATCATGCTAAAACATAATCACATATACCTTTATGATATCAAATGTTTGCATTAACTTCTTGATTCCAACTATTAAACATATTTATTCGCATTATTAATCCTTATATATTTTGAAAAAAAGAAAAGTTTTCTTTTTTAGTACTGAAAACATCTTTTAAATCAACATTAAAATAAATAGTCCCATGTTCTTATGTTTGGTGTTTAATATGATATTCAGGTTAATTCATCACATACATGGGTTTGACTGTCCATTTACATTACAACCTCCTCACAATACACTTCATTGATACCCTACACATGTACAAACCATTGAAACCGTACACATGTACAAGTCATTGAAACCCTACACATGTACAAACCATTGAAACTCTACACATGTACAAACCATTGAAACCCTACACATGTACAAACCATTGAAACCCTACACATGTACAAACCATTGAAACCCTACACATGTACAAACCATTGAAACCCTACACATGTACAAACCATTGAAACCCTACACATGTACAAACCATTGAAACCCTACACATGTACAAACCATTGAAACCCTACACATGTACAAACCATTGAAACCCTACACATGTACAAACCATTGAAACCCTACACATGTACAAACCATTGAAACCCTACACATGTACAAACCATTGAAACCCTACACATGTACAAACCATTGAAACCCTACACATGTACAAACCATTGAAACCCTACACATGTACAAACCATTGAAACCCCAGACATGTAAATAACCATTGATACCCTTAACATGTACAAACCATTGATACCCTTAACATGTACAAACCATTGATACCCCACACATCTAAAAACCATTGATACCCTACACATGTACAAACCACTGTTACCCTACACATGTACAAACCATTGTTACCCCACACATGTACAAACCATTGATACCTTACACATTTGCAAACCTTTGTTGTTATACACATGGACAAAACATCCTGCGCACAATACACTTAATTTATACTCTACACATGTACAAACCATTGATACCCTACAATTCGCACAGTTTTAAGCATGCACTAAATTTAAAAAAAACCAAACATTTATTTAATACAAGCTTTTATCTCATACCTAATGATAAATATGTCAATACTTTAAAGTAAAGTGAAAGGGTATTTTACTTACTACAATCTTTCATTTCCGTATCTGAAACAATAACGAAAATTGTTGCAATCCAACCTGTTTCTCAATTTACCATCACTTGATGAGTTAAAACATATTTAATAATAAATAGTTATAACGACAGTATGATCCAAAATAGGTACTCGATCTAAACAAACAAATGTTTGTTAGATGCATATTATTTAAGACAAAGAAGTAATAACGATAGTGTAGAGAACAAAATATCTCATCTTATCAGGGTAATCTGCCTCATTTTCTTGAAGACAGAAACATTGATAAATTACAACATATAACAGATGAATAGTCACTATAAAAACAACACAACATAAATTACATAAAAATTAAAAAAAACAGTAATCACTTTTGAAATTTGTTGCCGTTTAATCACATACCCCCCTCTGTTAGGTTGTCACCGCAGGCTAATACTTGTACAAAATACATTGAACGCTAGTAGTATCGGTCATTATTAATGTAATTCTATGTTTGGTAATTCGGGATAATGTCAAAATATAACACATTTTCTTGTTAAACAAGATTGGAAAAGAGATTGAGGCTCATACTCTCTAAACCTTGAAAGGTGTATCACCACTTTGCCGTGTTTTACCATAGGGTGATATGATATGAGTTCCTAGTCATAATAGCGGACCTCATAACGTAAGCATTGTATCTATAGGACAATACGAACAGACTTAAACATTGAATTATGTACTCCTTTGTGTGTGAAAAGAGAAACTTACCTTGGGGTACTGGCGGTTTACTTTGGAAGTTCACGACTATCGCCACTGATATGCTGCTAGTCCCTAACCTATTAGTAGCGGTACATATGTAAATTCCTCCATCTTGCGGACGAATATTATGAATTGAGAAATTGTATGTCCTCCCAACGCTGGTGATGCTGTAAGCGGAACTGCGCACCATCTTAGTTGGTTGGTTACCTTCATTTATACAGAGGAGGTTATCCACAATTGGTGTTGAAGTCACCCATATAGACATAGACATGCTGTCCCCGACGTCATATCTACTTATACGTTCGCCAAACGGAGAGTACATTTCTGGCGGTACTGGAACATATATTAAGTTATCAGTCAAAAGTAATTCATTTTTTATCAACATTTACCAATATGTATTTTTGGGAAATTACTTTTATTTATCTACAACCTTGATTCGGATTTTAAATCATTTATGTCAAAGATGATGATTAAAAACTGCTTGCCTTTGTTCAATAAGATTCATCAGTTTGGAAATATGTGATATCAAAGATTTACTTTCTTCACAAACAATGTTCGTATAAAACGTGTCGCAACGTTTCAAAATCGACTGGTCCCATTATCAAGCTATGTATTTTTCATTCCTTGTAAATAAAAATTGCTGAAACATACTAGTACAATGTAATACTTTCTGCGTTCATGAGTACATATAACTTTACGAATTACGAATACAAATGTTAAGAAAACATTTTGAGAAAGTATTCCCCCATTTAGTTAAAATACTAAGAAATAAAATGTGTTAAGATTAGTGCATGGTTGTAATGCACAAAATAGAGAATATTTACATGATCAAAAGGATACATAAAAACGTCACTAATTATCAATTTTTGTGATTGTTTCTATTATTTGCAGCTTGAGTGTTACACAATACAAATGTATATCAAAGTATGCCCTCTCTCTAAAAATACTCACTGTCAACAGTCAAATGCAAGGTGCTTTCTCCTATGCCTTCGCTATTTTCTGCTTTACATGTGTAATATCCGCTATCACTGGCACTTGCATTATATATGGTGTGTGTGATCACACCGTCTGATGACACATTTGAAATAATCTTTGTTACTTTTCCTTGCATATCTTGAAACAGATAACTTGATGTAATGGGCGTCGGATTCCCCTCAACTCTGCATGTCAGATTGTATAGGTGTCCAGCATCAACGTTGCCGCTCTCTTTTGCCATGGTAACGATAGGTTTTGCTGCAATACAAATAGATAACGGCGATGTAATTGGCCACATGTATACATCTAGAATCTAAAATAATTACTCATTGATATTGGGTTAACAAAACTAGTCATGAAAACATAATTTAAATGGACGAATCTGCTGTTAAATAGCAACCTTCAGAACAGGTTTTATGGAAAATCTTCGAAAATTATTTGTGAAAATTTATTAAATGCAAAGAATGAACATGACTTAGTACATTAGTACATATTCTGTTCTGACAAGGACGACAAAGGACGACGCTTGTAATATGACTCACTAGTGACAAACAATGTGACATTCTCGACATTTGACAATCCAATGGTGTTGTATATATACAGTTGATAGGTCCCTTGGTCTGACAATTCAATTTTACTGATGTTCAAATAGGGGTTTGGCATTGTTCCAACAAGGTATTTTCCTGGATTCGAAATTTCTGTTAAAGAACTAGCGATGTCATAGGAGGCAGTTGTATTTATGAACTTCCAGGCAAACCCTAGCAGCTCAGAGTCACTGTATATTGTCGGCAGTAGAGTTAGATCATCCCCTTCCTTTTTCGTATGAGATGTTGGATATAAGGACACATCCGGTACAGCTAAAATTATATAAAATACTTTATTTTGAAATGTATCACATTGTTTCTTTTCAAGAAAATGTCATATAAGAAAACATTTGACATTTAAAGATAATAATCTTGATATTTACAACAACTTTTCAGATTTAACAGTATTGATTAAGCTTAAAATCCTCACTCCTTTCTTTATATAATTCAACTTTAATCCAAGATTTTTAAACAATCTCAGCAATAGTAATTAGTTATTTCTTAAAGTTCAAAAAGTCATTGCTGCATTGGAAGTTATTTACTACGGACCTCTAAAATGTATAAACTTTGCTGCAAATGACTGGTTGTATAGCTGTATCTTTAACAGGGGAGATTATTATGACGTCACCGTTGTACGTCTATTGGAACATCATTTTCAGTGACATACTTGAAATAACAACATGATATTTTTGTGATTTTTGTTTTTCATGTAAGGCTGCAGTTTATTGAAGAGATTAGGAGGATAGGTAGCTAAAGTTATAATGAAGAAGATACAATATTAATTGATCATGTTTTGCATATAAAACATGAAAGCAAATTCAAATGAAAAATGGATATGCATTCCAGTAATATGTGAGTTGTTGATTAAAACAGTTAAAATAATAATAAATTTTGCAAAACAAAATATAGATAGGAAATAACCTTACTGTATTTCGACCTTTGTGGCGGTATATTGTGATAATAACAGATATTCCAAATTTCAAATCACAGTAAGATTATCCCTATTATAAACCATACAAGCCAAACATTACCAAAAGAAACGTCGATTTAAAATGTTTTTGAGTGTTTTCTTCGAATTCTGGGTCACTCTGCCATTGATTGGTGACGTCAGTTATATTCAAAGTGAGACGAAATTTAAGGATAACACAATTGTTCGTGACGTCATGAATTATCAAGTTCATGAGAAACCCGCGAATGGTTTGTCGTGGTTATATTGTCGCAAATTATTTGTATTTACCAATCAAATGTCGTGTTACAATGTATATTTAAAATGAATAAGAAGTTTTGATTCGTGTTTGGTACATTCAAAGTTTCGTGTCTTTTAGAGCCCACAACGGTCACCAAGTGAAACTTCATTCGGCACAATTCTCGAAATTCTTTTCGACAAATAGCATGGATAGTTAGAAAAATATGTACCGTTTTTACGAGTGCATGGTTTCTTGCAATGATCGACTTCTCGAAAGGAATACTTTGAGGTCACCTGTCTATAGTTGCATGTTGTGCTTGTTTCATTGCCTTTACATGGAACACAAACATCAGTGTCTTTGTCTTCTGTACAGAATTCAATAGTTCCTTAAAAAAATAGTATTGACATTTGTACGACATACTGTGAAATCAGATATTTTGGCTGCGATCCATTTGGAGGTTTTCCGAAAAACTTCTATTTCGTGGTTATAAAAGTTCGAGGATTAAAAGAACTCGCTCACAATGGGAATTGCTTTATACCCAATTTGTAACTACTTCGATTTCGTAGACCTATGGATTAGTTGATGATGATAACATGTACCCACATACAAATGTAATCACTGAAAGTAAAAAATAACAACGAAAATGAGTGATTTCACAGTATTCAGACGGAATTCAAAATGCGTGTGATATAGTCAAATTATCCTTTAAAGTATAATTATCACAATATAAGTTTTACTTAAATCTTCAGGATTATTCAACTATTCTTTACAGGTATTATTTCATTACATTAACAACATTTTTTTCTGATTACAGTTCAGATGGAAACAAATATAATTTGTTCTAAGACTTCACCATAAGAAGTCTTTAAGTTGGAACAAATAGACCTTAAGTGAGCAAACAAATTAATAAAGCACCATGAGTAAAAACATACAGACATAACCTTGTAAATAAAATGAAAAGAAACGAACTATACATTATTAGGTTATCTCCCTTGATAAAGATCACATGTCATTCAATACTTAACTATTTTACCAGTGAAATATGATAAATTATAAAAGTATCAATTTGATAGAAAAAATGTTGGCAATGAAATTAATGCGCAATGTTTTGGGTTTTTTTTAACTTTTTTTTTGTATTGTTTTATCAGACATGAATACATAATTCATTAGCTATGAACTCAAATGCGTTGTCTGACATTTTAAATTAAATTATAAGGAAAAACAATACTTTTGGGATTATACGTTATATACTGAAAAAAGCGTTTTGCATTTTTGTGCATAATCCGCTTTGCAGATTTATGGAAAGTGCACACAGTTTTTTGGTACATTTGGATATACCGTATATAACCCCAAATTGTATCCTGGTTATTCCTTATATATATATATACATTATTTACCTTCTTCACAACTTATTGGATAGCAGCAAAATAATGCGCCAACCTCAGGAAACTGCCCGTCAGTTACGTGATGGGGAACTGTTCCGTTTTCGACCTTACCGTTACAGTCAAACCCAGAAAAATTCGGATGAACATCCTGCAACAAACGTGAACTTTACACTGTTTTCATTGTGAGCTGAAACACGGTGTATGTGGAGACTACCTATGTAAATAAGTTTTTAAACATTCCGAATGTTGTCTCTTGATACAGGGTTTTGGCTGTACAGTATAACTTCAATGAACAGTTTTGGTTTGGTTTATGGTGTCGTGAATGTGCATGCAATGTGATACAAGTTAATAGTTAACGCATTTACCGGAATACAGGACACAATCCCCTATTAAGATTTAGCTTACAAAATTAAAATACCAACATGGACGATGGAAGAATGAGTTATTCTCCCACCCTTCACAGGTGTGTCTCCAGCTTTAGCCAGGAAAGATCAGCTTGTAACCCTCTAGGGGGAGATAGCCTCGTGCCGATTAGCACGTGTTCAATTGTGACGTCATTAAAATGCGTTATCGGTTATTGTGACGTCATCAAAAGTGAATGACGATAGGCATACCCCACATGTGTTTTGGTTTACAAACATACCAGACTACTGTCGGTGGAGCTGTGACTGAAATAATAGGATGGGAGAAAAATAATCATCCCCTACCTTGAGGGTGTAACAGAGAATTCTCAAACCCTCGGGGTGATTTATTTGGTTGTCTAACCCTCGACAGAGCATCGGGTTAGACAACCAAAAGACATCACCTCTCGGGTTGGAGATTTCTCTGTCACACCCTCAAGGTAGGGGACGATTATAATAATATCTCATATAGGAAGGATGCCGATCATGTCAATAGTCTCGTAAAACAATATTGCAAACCACAGCTATTACCAAATTGTATAGGTGCAATGTGTGTCTGGCACTCATCTTCAAGATGTTTTAGTAACCAAGGATTCCCTAAGCCTTGGTGACCATGTTTATCTTTTTAAGTAGTGGAACGTTCTATGATATAGCAACGTTACTTATTACTGGTACGGAATTAACCAGAAATTCTATACGTTTTGACTTTTGAAAAAAGGGTTTTATTTAAGAGATTTATTCAACCCCTATGTTTAAACTGTTTTTAGATCGATTTATATATATGTTTTTGGTTCAAACAGCTAAATAGTTCAGTGTACCTAGTTTTGTTTGCACACTGAATCTATTCCCATATTTAACAGGTAAAAATTCAATGTCAGTGTCACACTTTCATCATTTAATAACAGGAACACTTGATCCTTTTAAGGTTAATGAGTGTGTCTTTCCTAAGATGCGGGTGAGATTATGGACAAGTTTTACGAAAACCATTTCGACCTCATTGAGAAATAAGCTACATTGTATGTCTTTGTGTGATATAGTATGTTTTTTGTGTTTTACGTCCTATTATTGGCTATGGTCATTTAATGACAGGCAGGGTTTTAGTTGCGGAGGAAAGCCGGAGTTCCCGGAGAAAAACCATTGACCTAGGGCCAGTACCTGGCGACTGCCGCACGTAGGTCTCGAATCTGCGACCCAGTTGTGGACGGCTAGTGGTAGCAGAATGTCAGACGCCTTAACCACTTGGACACCGCGTCCCCTTGATATAGTATGATTGTTGATGTTTTTGATAATTTTCATTAGTGTTCTTTATTGCTTTGTTGTTACTATCCCAGTTTTCATTAGGAGGACGTGGCATTACTCGGATTGGACCTAGATTATTTACATGTCGGGTGCCTACGCTCACAGAAGACGCTCACTGTACCAGAACGCATGGCCTTATTTTTTGGTACGATTTCATAGATCTCCATGTTAAGTTTTCCTTTGTTCATGTTTTGCCTTCTCCTTTTTTTATATGGTATTGTTGACACTTTTTTTATTTTTTATTATATTTTCAAAATTTATGACATAAACACATATATAAATATACAAACAATGTACATGGGCGTCTAGAATCGCCTTTAAATAATGTACATACTGTTCAAAAAATTCTATCAAGTATCAGTATTCGTCTTACATATATATTTCTTTCCGTCTATTTCCTCAGTCTATCAAGTTGTGTACATATGTATCAGTATTTTTATGCATGAGATTACCAATGCAAACGATAGTATCATTTAATGAGAGGCAATGCAATTCCAAACTCACGTTCAATCTCAATACTCTTAAGACTTCTAACTAAAATAAAACTTTTGTGTACACCTTGTACATGTTTCTGATAATTAATTTTTAAGATAGTACCTGGAATATTTTGTTTATTTGTACCCGTCATATATACAATTAAAGATAGCACCTGTGATATTTCTGTAACCTATCCCCCCCCCCCGTATATAATTCTGAAATAAAATTCTGAAAAAGCGCCTGAAATAGTTTTACCTCTTATATATGTTTCTCAAAAACAATTATAAAATAGTGTTTGGAATAGATATTCATTGAAAAATGAATGTTTTGTATAATTTATGACAAATAATTATACCAGATAATACAAGGTGACTGGAAGGTATTAATTATCACCAAAGTAATAGTTTTATAAAATAAATATTGGTTTATTTTACTCACATTACGACTGGTAGCACAGTTCAACATATGCATTAATCCGAGAAAAAGTGACAATGTCATCCACTGTCGGAAAGGCGCCCAAGTAACAAACATCCTAGCAGTATCCAGCTCTTTTACCTAAGATAGAAATTGAAACATAGACATATTAGTACAGTAAAGTTCTCTAAGTATCTTGTGTTGAATATGTAAAAGGCTCATGACAAACATGTTGTATCGGATTTTGAAGCATAATTTAAATATGAAATACATAATCAAGTATTGTCCGTTACATTCTTTGTTGGATTCAGAACCTCGCCTATACATATCTATCGAGGAAAGACAGTCAACTTGTTTTTCTAATGCCAAACTACAAGTTTTCCATTTTCAATGAAGATGTTCATGTTGAACAGTCTTTTGAGATCAAATGAAAAACCTGTTTTTATATTTATAAATTATTCGATGTCTTACAGACTATTTTTATACATTGTAGCCAGAATTGTAAGCTAACAATGAATACTGGCAGACATTTTTTTTATTTCCTCTTACATAAGATGTTATGAATATTTTAGAAAATTGAAAGGGGAGATTTCATATTTTTCAAGAACAGCTTGAACAACGTCTTACAACGTTTAATACGTTTACATGTAACTAAGGTCATCCACGTTCCATTACAGTCAACTAAGATTATCCCCCACTACGGTCAACTACGTGCGTGACCGTAAGATGTGACCGCGGCTTTTACAAGAATGCAAAGGAACGAAGAGACGAAGATGTAAGGAACAAGTACTTTTAGCTCTACACTACCATTAGTAGATTCCTTGTCAGCGTTGAAAATGTAATTTTAAGTATGGAAATATCGTGCCATGGATGTCACAAGTAGTGTCGGTTTATCTCCGAGATGGTAACTGTTAGTATGAACGAGTTTCTATGTATTTTTTTGCTATGGTATATTTTTCCATAGGCGGGGTTTTTATGTGGTTAAATACAGTACGGTACACTAGTACCAGTGATAGACATATCACAGTAGGGGAAATACGGTAAATTATGTGGGGTTTTCACCTGGGAGAGTAGGAGCCAATCAGAATTTAGCTTAGCCGGCACTGCGCTCCGAGTCACACACAGAGCAGCAAGGCAATGGCGCAGCACCCGACGCTGTCTGCGTCCGTAAAACCTCAAGCTATGGAGTAGGAACAGGTTTATAGAACTTCCCAGGGGTGAGTGTTATGCATAAAACCACTATTGTTTGTAACATGACCAGCTAAGTAGCTGTCATGGTCATTTTGTCTATTTTTGAACGAAAGAATGTTCTTTGCGAAATCCGCTCGCTCAACCATGTGCTATTTGGATGGGACGTGAGTGGGTTGATTACGAGTCGGATAATTAATGA